TGGGGAAAACTGAGCTCTGTGTTAGATATATATCATACTTCACATCTTCTCTTATGTAATTCCCTGTAACGGACTGCTCCTCCTGTTCCAATGAACTTTCAAAATCAGCCGCCTTTCTTTTTAAATGTTTTTCTATCCTCTCCTTACTAGATATATCATATCTTATCTTTAAGTCCTCCATCACAGTTTCTTTTTGACTTATTCTGGCATTTGCTGTGTTCTATTTTTTTTCCATCTTAGATGGTCATTTGTTTATTTTGGAAGCATATTGTATTATTTACTACTGCCTCTAAAGAAAGTATCATTAAGCATGGTTTTGATTGAGTTTACTCATTGAATGTTTCAGTGTTTCTCTATCGAGGGTGAATTTGCTCCCCAGGAAATATTTAGCAATGTCTGTGGAGGCACTATTATTAGAAAATGAGGTGCTACTGGTATATGGTGGGTAGAAGACAGGGATGCTGCAAAACATCCACAATATACAGAATAATTTCCCACAATAAAGAATTACCTAGTCTAAAATGTGAATAGTATTGAAATTGGGAAGCCCTGAAATAGATGAACAGTATTATTTATCTGATTTTGTAGGAAGTTCTAATTTTACTTCAGCTTATTTCCTGCTACTTGTAATAGTAAGGTAACAATCATAAAGTACTTTTTTCTTTTTTGAAATAAGACCATTTGAAAACATTTTTTTCCACATGACATTCCTAGAATAACTTCTTTTAATGTTGTTATAAAATATGGACCTGTGGCTCAGCTGAATAGCCAAGGCAATTCTTTCATATGTGTCACTCAGGGTAGCAGGCAGGAGTTTATGAAAAAGATAGGAAAAGGAAAAGTAGAGTGAGTGGGTCCTCTCAAAGAGGAGGATGGCATGCCCTTCTGTCCTCTGGATTTATTGGGGGTTCTAGGGAAATTTCCAGAAAGTCATACCCAGGTTCACCTCTTGTCTTTTGACTGGTAGCAAGATGTCCTTTCTGCAGGATAACTGGAGCTCCCTTTGGCCCATGCTGACCAGTTCTAATTGGATATTATGGTTAAGGGGAATTGAATTATCCTTTTCTCCCAGAGTTCTGGCATTTGGACTGTGAATCACAAAAGTCTCCCACTTCAGGGCAACTTGTGTTCTTTTGATCAGTATTTTGGGGCCTGAGTTCCTCCTGCAGAAAACAGGTTTTTTACTGAGGAATGTAACATATCCTATTGAATTAAGCCAGACAGGGCTGCAGGCAAATTATTTTTATTAAAAAAAAAGAAAAGGAAGTGTGTCAGGGTAAACACGGTGAACCCAATTTATTGAATTATTCCCTTAACCTCATATCCCCACTGCTTACAACTGCTGTTTCATATCAATATGATTTTCTTTTATTTTCCCTTCTTAGGTAACTTTTTAAAATAATTGAGACTTTGTGCAGGTGATCTCTAATGGAATATAGTAAAGTCAAAGAAAATATTATGCAAGTAACCTGTGATGAGACATCTTATTTAGCAAAAGTACCAACTAAATGTATAGAAGAGTCTTGAGCTAAGGAAAGACCTGTGTTGTAAAGAGATGAAAGTTGCTTGACTGCACATTTTTGTTTGTGTTTTGTCTTCTTGTTGGAGGAGGG